CTGACAAGTAACACGCCAAGCTGCTTAGCATTTTAGGTCGCGTGGCAGGCTAGGGCAGAAGCTGTCTGCCACGTAATCTTGTTGCACTGTGCAGCGGCTTACGCGGCCATGAACCTGCTGCCATGTGTGCACACCTAATTCGTCAGGTGTTGTAGCGAGTTAGGTGATGTGCATTTTGGGAAAAAATTCTGATCTGTGGCATTCAAGTAATTTTTTGTGAATAGTGTGGCATTTTGGTCGTTGTCCCGCAATGTTTATGTACGATAATGAGATTTTGTTGGGGATGTTATCATTCGCTTGAAATAAGTAATTATCAAACAATTCTATAACTATATATGAAACGTTTTATTTCACTTGCATGATTGAAAGTAATTATATTTAATAGAATATTTAGATTATTATATATATATATTTTTGGTCTATAGATTATTATATGTTTCATTAAACTTTTCCAATGACAAAAATAAAAATAATCATGATTCATCCGAGGGGATCATGAATGTAGATCGTATGGTCGTAATTGATAAGAGATTTGTATGCTCGCAAGAGTTTATGGAAGAAACATCGCAATAGGTGATAGATCACTATGCACGAAGAGGCTCAAGGCCGAAAGACATGGTGTGTGCAACTAATAGCTAAAATAATAGGGTTCAGAAAGTATGTACTTAAGAGACTTAACCAACTATTTATAGATAGAATTGCTTGTAGTAAGAGAACCTGAGTGGAAGTCAAACTATTGGGGATATACTTAACCAACTCCATAGTACTGAAAAGAAAAGATTACGTACATTATTTATTGAAGTTGTAAGAAAAAAAATATAACTAACTTTACATATTCTTCCCTTGTATTTATGATTAATGCCACCTAAGTTCCACTTTTTCATACTTTTAGTAAAAGAATGCCTATTATTGTAGTACCAAAGATATGCTGTATCGCTTAAGACCTGATAGTATAAGCCCTTAGTGCCAATTTGATGTGATGTATAAGGTCTGATAGTATAAGCTTATATTATACGTTATGATATTTTTCATTATTTGGTATAACCATTGTATAATATAAGCTTATACAATAGAATTTATTAATACATCAAAATAATATATAATTTAATCAGGCCTAAGGGGAGTGTGATTAGGTCTGATAAAGGGTTGATAATTAATATCGTTGACCGGTGCAATTCTTAAGTTTAATATATAAAAAAAATAATTTTTGTAATATATTAATTTTTAAAATATTAGAGATTTTTATTTTTATAAAAATTTATTTTTTAAACACACCGATCAATAGATTTTTATAAAAATTAATATTATATGACATATTTAAAATAATTATATAAATTCTTTATTAAATGGTATTTTTGTCAAAAATATTTATTTTTATCCTATCTAATATTATACAGTGCATTACCAAACACTGGATGATTATTATCTTATACTATATATTATCTTGTACAATATCATGCCAAATATTGGATAATATTAAAATTTAATCAGGCCTTATACTATCAAACTTTATCTTATATTGTACACCAAACATGCCCTTAGTAAAATTGAATTTCACAAAAGTAAATAATGAAGAGTACGAATACCCTTAAACTTTCGATTATAGAAAAATAAATTTGATAAAAGGGTTGTTAGATCCATACTTTTTTTTATGGGAAAAACATTTTTCCTTTTATATGATATAATCTTTTATCATTTTAGATTTCAACCGTTGATTTTTGTAAATCAACGGTTATAATTCATTGGGTCAAAATTATTAATTAATTAATAATAAATTTGACCCAATAAATTATAATCGTTGATGGACGGAAATCAACGGTTAGGATCTAAAATGACAAAAGATTATATCCTTTAAAATGATAAATATTTTCCCCTTTTTATATATAAAATGATAAAAATGAGATTCAAACTTATATCTAGGCTCGGCAAAAATGAGCCAACCCATCGGGTTGGCTCGTAACCCGGCTAAAATGAGCCGGGTTGGATTAGGAAAAATGAGTTAGTAACTCGAGTCAGCCTGACTCGTTTCAGCTCGAAAAAAATCGAGCCAACCCACGGGTCAAACGGGTTAGCTCGCGGGTTATGGTTTTTATAATATAAAAGTATAAAAATTAATGAAGGTAAAGTAGAAAGCTAAAACCTAAAATCCCAATTCAAAAACCCAAATGAAAATACCTTGCAGCTGCCAATAAGTCCAAAACCGTGCATTAAGGACCTTTTTTATAGTATGTGTGACCGTGTGAATGAGGTGTCAACTGTCAATAAGTCCAAGTCCAAATGAAAAAGAAATTTTCTATGGTTTATCTGTATAATGTCTTTGTATTGAATGAATTAATAATTTAGAAAAAAAAATTAGAAGTTACAGCATAAATGAAATTTAATTTTTTTTATTTTATTTTTTCGAGCCAACCCTAACCCGGCTTATTTTTTCGGGTTAAACGCGGGTTGGGTCGGGTTGGCCCGTTTTGCCAACACTACTTATATCCTCTCATATGTTTTTGAGGATTTTAACCATCGTTAACAAATCAATTGCTATAATTTTATGATTTTTTATTCCAATATTTTTTTTCTTTTTTTCATTATTATCATTGATCCACCCTTGTATAGTTAGAATCCTCTTTTTTTTTTTTTTTTTTGGAGTTACCCAACCCTAATTACCTCTTTGAGGCGAGTTGGCTCCCTCCGGTATCCCCACAAGCTTCGACTCTTTGAGCCGGCTATGGGACTAATCCGGAGTGCGGGGGTCAGTGATGGCTAAAGGTTCAGCCCCCTCCCAAGAATGCATTCAGGGGAATCGAACACATGTCCAACCCCACTAACTCAACGCCAAGGAACCAACTGAGCTGCACCATTGGGTTAGTTAGAATCCTCTTACATAATATGATTATGTTAAATAATATATAAGAGGATCTACTCCCCTACAAAATCCATTCTTATATATATATATATATATATATATATATGAGAGGTGAATGTCTGTATAATAATTGAGCATAAATTGGATTCACTGTCTATGTGATAGGTATCTGCTGAAAAGAAACAAAGGGCATAATGCCTATATGCTAAAAAGACAACAGAGAAATTCCTTCATAGTTTACTTGTAATTGGCTGTGTAAATTTAAACTACTAATTTCCCCACGGTTACTTGTTTTTCCTTCTTATTTTCCCCCTTTCCCTTTTCTACAAAATAAACATAAATAAGTATAAAAATCGGAGCAGACCAAAGATGTATAATTGCATACGCACTTCCGAAAACAGCGTTGACTCCGAAATGATTAATATGTTGTTGCTGGGGCTCATCTGCATGATATTTTCATCATAAAAATCAAATAAAACTGTCTGCATAATCAGTTATATCATTCTTAAGTCAATGAGTTGCCAAAAACATAACGACACATGTCTGTCTGGTAAGGCACATTTACCTCTCGGGGTAATTTTCTTATTCCACTGGCCTAGACCTAAGGTCGAATCAGGGGTCTCCCGAACTAGAAAATCCCACAATATCACCTATAATGTCATAACTTTTAAAAAAACAATTATAATAAAAATTTGAGCACAGAGGTTCAATTTATGTTAGATGATACGTTTGACTAACTGGTGTTTCATTCTAAAATGCATTAAATTAATTTGTTTTGACTCAATTTAAAATTAAATTGATCTAAACAAAAATATAATTTTAATTATTCAGTAATTTAACTTTTATGTTTAAAACACAAAATTTAAATTTAATCAATTTTACTCAGAATAATATAATTTTTCTCTTAATAAATAAGGGATATAACAAATAAAATGGTCAAACAAATAAAAAATATTATTCATATAATTAAGAGAAAACATAAATATAATAATAATATTCATTAGTTCAATTCCTCTTTTAATAATATTTGGTTAGATGTTGATTTTGAAGGACTAAAAGTTTAAAAAATCTCTTGAGGATGGGTGAGGAGAGCACTTTTTTAGTGCTACGAGAGTACCTGCTCACTTGAGAAAGAAATATGAGAAAAAATAATTATAAAGACAAAAATATTATTATGAAAAAAAATATTTGTGATTTAAATGATATAATTTTATGTCATTTTTAATGAAATTATATTATTTTGATATGTTTTTATATTCTCTCCTGCATTTTCTTTTTTTCATAATTTTATAAAAAATAAAAAATAAAAAAAATAAAAAATACACCAGAATAACATGATTTTATTCAAAATGACATAAAATTATATTATTTAAAATGATAAATACTTTTTTAATATTATAATTATATTCTCTTTTTCAATATTTAATAAAGGATATACTTAACATTCAATGCTCCCCGTATTACTGAAAATATTTTCGGGGCTAGGGGTGGTTTGTAATATAAAACAGTGGTTGTAATATAACAGTAGGGCAGGTCACGGTTGCAATTGCAAAAGTAACACCCACCGTCTTCCCAAATACTTTTCTCATATTTTATATGTTATCCTCAAATACAAAATGCCAAAGCCAAAAACGGATATATGATTAATAGGAAAGAGAAAATGCACACCGAACAATGGCAGTTTCAGTAAATAACACCGCAAAACGTGCCCATTTTCCGCAAAAACCCCCCCTCCAAACCCCACTCACACATCTCAGCTCTCAAACCCACCCTGGCAGTGCACACAGAGTGCTCTGCCCCCCAAAAACAAAAAATTTCCCCCTTTTTTAGAGTTTTTCACCATTCATTTCATTTCACTTCACACACTCTCTACTCTGTAACATTGAAAACAGAGCAAGCAATTAAAACCCCCCTAAAAAGCCAAAAGCAATTCTGAAAAAGTTAAAAAATAATTAAATAAATGCTTCAAGAGATATAAATAATAATAATAATAATAAAAAAGAAAAAAAGAAAAGAAAATGAAGCATGGAATCTGAAGAAGAACAAGTTGGGGTTGGGTTGGGTTGTGTTAGTTGCTATTTGGGAAAACAGAGCATTGAATGAGAGAAGCAAAGTAAGTAAGGAAACCCCCGAAATCGTAACAATGGCGGGTTCGGAGGAGGTTTTCCCGTGGCTTAAATCGCTTCCGGTGGCGCCGGAGTACCGGCCAACCCTCGCCGAGTTCCAAGATCCGATTGCCTACATTTTCAAGATCGAGAAGGAGGCATCGCGTTACGGAATCTGCAAGATCATTCCACCGGTTCCACCTTCCCCTAAGAAAACCGCAATTGGGAACCTGAACCGGACCCGGCCCAGCTTCACGACTCGCCAGCAGCAGATCGGGTTCTGCCCCCGCCGTCCCCAGCCGGTCCGGCGTCCGGTCTGGCACAGCGGCAACAACTACTCCTTCCGCGACTTCGAAGCAAAGGCCAAGGCCTTCGAGAAAAGCTACCTCAAGAAAAAAGGGTTATCAAAGAAGAACGCTGTCGTTTCGCCGCTTGAAGTTGAGACGCTGTACTGGAAGGCCACGGTGGACAAGCCGTTTTCCGTTGAGTACGCGAACGACATGCCAGGGTCTGCGTTTTGTCCTCTGAACGCGCGAGATTCAGGTGGTGGTGGTGGTGCTGCTGCTGAGGGCGTTGTTACCGTTGGTGAGACTGCTTGGAACATGAGAGGGGTTTCTAGGTCGAATGGTTCTTTGTTGAGATTTATGAAGGAGGAGATTCCTGGTGTTACTTCCCCTATGGTTTATGTGGCTATGTTGTTCAGCTGGTTCGCTTGGCATGTTGAGGACCATGACTTGCATAGCTTGAATTACCTTCATTTGGGTGCTCCCAAGACTTGGTATGGTGTTCCCAGGGATGCTGCCGTTGCGTTCGAGGAAGTCGTTAGAGTTCATGGATATGGTGGAGAGATTAACCCTCTTGGTTGGTACTTTCAATCACGCCACTAGCATTTTCTCATTTTGAATTCTTCTCTGTGTATGCAAATTTGAGCACTTTATGGATGTTTAGCTTCTTTTAAGTTTGTCTTGTTTTGTTAATTATGACTGACTTCTATTGGCTTCATGAGGGTTACAGAGAGATTACTTTTCTTATTAATTCTAATTGGGTGAATGAAATTGTAATTGTAATCTTGGGAGATGACAAAATCACCTGCTTGAACAAAGCTGTCAGCACCCTCACATGACCTTTCCCTTTCTATGCTGTTTGTGTTTGCCTAGGCTAAGTCTCTGTTTGATCCTTGTATTTGCTTTCTGTGTTCTTCTTCCTCTGCTTCGGTTGTTTTAGATTTGATGTATTGTGTTTTATTGTTTCTGTCTGATCAAAGGCATTTGTTGGTGTCCATTTGGCTGGTTAAGACAATGATATACTTTTTTTTTTTTTTAATGTTTATTGTATGTGGATCTACATGTTGTAAAACTTACATGGAAACTCTTTTTCTTCAACAGTTACTTTTGCTATTCTTGGTGAGAAAACTACAGTGATGTCGCCAGAAGTGTTTATCAGCGCAGGTGTTCCATGCTGCAGGTACTTAATTTTACTTATGCCATACTGTAGTTTGTAGTCCTCTTTCTTTATATAAATCTTTGGGATGCTTTCTACACTACCAATTTTGTTGTTGGTTTACTGCTTTATTTATTCCTATTAGAAACAATTTCAATTTTAAACTTGTTAAAGATCAGTGGCAATGACATGTATAACCTTGCTGGAATTATAACCCTAAGCCAAAACAATCTACATTGTCCCCTTTGGAGCTACTTCACTTGCCAGGATATCCTCTTCACTTGGGAGCAGTTTCTCATGGTTCTTTGAAGGTTTTGGTGGAATTAGAGAAACCATAATTTTGTGTCAGTGAGGAGATTATGCTGCTCTGTGGTGTATTTGGTTGAAGTCCCTTTGCCCCTGGATTTGCTTTAGGCTAGTACATTGTTTATGGCTTCTCTCTAGTGCTTTGCTAGGGCAGTTTATGCAGGGAGACTTGACAGGCTTGCTGCTGCCTGCATGCTTGATTATCTCTGTTTCCTTTTTTGTTTCTTTATCTGTTTTTTATATCCTCACCCTGGTTGTACTCTCTCTCTCTCTCTCTTTCTGTGTGTATTATTGAGAATGTGTATATGTATCTTTACTTCAAGTTTCAATTGCATTGTATCAGGTTAGTGCAAAATGCTGGGGAATTTGTTGTGACATTTCCAAGAGCCTATCACACAGGATTTAGTCATGGTAAGACGCTTAACAATCAAGGAATGTGGTTATCAGCTTAAATGTTTTCTATTTTTTTGGTGGAGATGGATTGTGCTTGTGATTATTGTTTCTGTCAATATTTGAATGTTTCTAATCCTTTTATGTATGCTTTGTAGGCTTTAATTGTGGAGAGGCAGCTAATATTGCAACACCTGAATGGTTGAGGGTTGCTAAAGATGCTGCTATTCGGAGGGCTTCAATTAATTATCCTCCCATGGTTTCACATTTCCAATTACTTTATGACCTTGGTCTTGCTTTATGTTCTAGGTTTGTCTTCCCCCAGTTGGAGCTTCTTTCTTATTTCTTCCCCCTGTAGTATTTTTTCTTTTCTTTTTCCTTTTTTTAATGGTCCCGATTCATTTGAGTAGATTGTTGCAATTATTAACAATATGTTATTGACTTTATGAAGATGTAATTGCATACTACAAATTAAAAGCCTCTGGATGAATCATACTGGATATAATCTAACATATATATATATATATAAATTCTGAATAAGTTATTGATACTGACCATTACTTTTTAGGTTTTCCTTTTTGAGAATTTCATGTCAACTAATATGATTTTTTCATGGCACAAATTCGAAGATTCTGTTGAAAATATGAGCTGTTATAATATATTTACCCGGTAAATATTCTTCATTCTCAATACAGAATCCCTGGAGGCATCAGCGCTAAACCTCGGAGTTCTCGACTTAAAGATAAGAGAAAGGTTGAAGGAGAAACTGTAATTAAAGAATTATTTGTACAGGACGTATTACAGAACAATGATCTGCTTCATGAACTCAGCAAAGGATCTGCTGTAGTACTTCTTCCTCAAAGCTCTTCTGACTTTTCTGTTTGCTCAAAATTACGTGTTGGATCCCGACAACTAAAAGTGAACCCTGAGTTTTCCCTCAATGCATGCAATTCTGAGGGAACGAATTCCTCAAAAGGTTTTATTTCTGATGATCTGGTGTTCAACAAGAATCATGGAATGAAGCAAGTAAAAGGTTTTTATTCCGTAAAAGAAAAGTTTGCTACTTTGTGTGAAAGGAACAGGATTTCTTCATTTAGAGGGAATGATAACATATGCACTTCGAGTTCAAAGACACTGGAAAAGGACACTGGAAGAGAAACAAGTCAAGGAGATGGATTGTCAGATCAGAGATTATTTTCATGTGTCACGTGTGGAATATTAAGCTTCGCCTGCGCTGCTATTGTACAGCCTAGAGAACCAGCAGCTAGATATCTTATGTCAGCTGATTGTAGCTTCTTTAATGATTGGATTGTTGGTTCTGGAGTAACTAGCAATAAATTTACCGTTGCCCATGAAGATGCAACTATTCCCAAGCCGAGCACATATACAGGCAGGTTCTATTTATTTAGCCTCATATTGTAGTCAAAAACTGTTTTTTTGGCTTTCTTCAGATATGATCAAATATCAGTAATGACTACACATCCTTGTTGTAGGTACTTTTTAGGCAATTGTGCCATACTTAGGGAAATATGACTTTTTATTTGGTCAGCGTCTTTCTCTGTGTAAAAGCTGAGCTTCGTGGACAGCCTGTCCTGATAACTTCCTACTGTAGAACAGAAACACAAATGCTGTACCTGTGTGATATGACCTGGCTCTGCATTGGCATAAGCTGGATCTATCCTTTTTCAGTCCCTGCATTTGTTTTTGGGGTTTAATATTTGTTACTCTTATCATTTTTGGTTCAAGTTCAAGAGTTGACGAGTAATAGGCTAAACGGGAGATACTTCCTAAAGTTTACTAATCAAGAGAGTAATAGACAATTATTTTTTACTGCTTGTAAAGAACCTTGGGATACACCACCCCAAAAGCTAGCTCAAATGGTGGGAGTGCTCAAGGCCTTATAAACTCCACATTAGTTGCACATACAACCAATGTGGGACTATATATCTCAACACGCCCCCTCACGCAAGAGCCCTTTGGGCTAGAAGCGTGAAATTGCACAGGCCCAATTTTTGGTTTACCTTTTTGTGCTTTTTATTTTAATTCTACCTTAAAGTGGGGGCGGTGAGAATCAAACTTGTGACCTTGTAGTCACTAAAGCTCTGATACCATGTAAAGAACCTTGGGATACACCACCCCAAAAGCTAGCTCAAAGGGTGGGAGTGCTCAAGGCCTTATAAACTCCACATTAGTTGCACATACAACCAATGTGGGACTATATATCTCAACACTGCTGAGTTTTGGTAAAAGTTCTTGTCTTGTCTTGTCTTTTTTAGTTATGGCTTGGTAAGATATTTTTCTGTTACCACTTTATTCTGTTTGGAAACAGTAATCACTTCATCTATTTTCTTTTTCTTTTTTTCTTTGAAACCAATATTTCCTTTTGTCAAAACGATTGTATCTTAAATTAACCAGTGGCTAGTAGTCTGGGCTTTAGTCTACATCTTTATGTATCTTCTGTTTCCAATTTTCTCTTATTGTCTCTTGGGACTTATTTGGGATCCTGATGGCTGGTATGTATTCTGTGGTGCTCTTGTAAACCAGGGAGATGGTTGAGTGATTGGTTGTATATTTAACTCTTGAATGCAGAACCTTATAGTGTTCTTGTCATTATTTACATGAATGGAGAGCAGTAATAGGCATTAATGCATATGCAAAGCCCTTATGGTGTGCAAAAGAAATGAAGCAACTTAGTTATCTAAGCAATTAAATGCCTTTTATATCTCCTTTGCTTTATCTCAAAAGTTTTCTGCATATAAATTTTCAGCTTCAACCTTCCTTGACCACGGTAAAACTAGTGACACATTTTGTTCCATCATGCAGGATGGACAAAACAGATTGCCCGAAATGATTTATCTGATGCTCCTGTTCAATCTGTTGAACACCAGACAAAGATTGCTGATCAAAATTATAAGGAGGCTTTAAATACTGAAAGAAAAATAGGGAATACGGCTCTTTCGTTGTTGGCTTCAGCATATGGGAATTCTTCTGATTCTGAGGAAGATCAGGGTGACTCAGATATTGCAGTTGATGGTGTAAACCATCCACCAGCAAGTAGATCTCAGGAGATATCTTTTTTGCCTTCTCATTTTCAAGATTGTCATGCTAGTCCCATAGTTAGACTTGATACAGGGAATGCCATTCCTTATGAGTATTATATGCATAAGAGAGTTGAGCGCATTATGAGCCCTTTAGACCACTCTGTTAAGTCAGAAGATTATGACACCACTTCAGGGGTTGCATTAAAAAATTCTAGGGCAGTGCCTCATTCCACTTTGAATTGTTCCCAAGATGCTCATGATGCTAAAACATCATTGTTGGGCCAGGCTGTGATTCCCATTGATAATAAAAATGTTTCATTGGTGCCACCATCTGATGAAGACTCATCCAGAATGCATGTCTTCTGTCTAGAGCATGCTGCAGAAGCTGAGCAGCAACTTCGCCCAATAGGAGGGGCGCACATATTGCTCCTGTGTCATCCAGGTCTGGTGATTGATTGATTTACTTTTACCCTTCAGTTCTTTTCTAAATAAAGGAACATATTTTGTACTTGTTGTGTATGTCCAAGTTCATTTGAAAAAACTAAAAACACCCTGCCTCTGCTTTTTTTCCTCTTTGTTTTTCTTCAAGAGTAAACACTTGTTCAAGGGAACCTTGGACATTAAACATGAGAGTCTTGTGGTGGAAGTTATGTTCAGTTTAGGTTGCAAGGTAGGAAAGTGAGTGGTTCCCCCCCCCCCCCCCCCCCCCCCAAATATACTGATATGAAAAATCCATATCAGTATTGAAGACATAGACTTGTACGAAGGTATTGTGTGATGTCTATAAATCTGCATGAACAAAGCAGGAAACTCGAATATTGCTTGTTCCCATATTTCAAGTCTTGGGTGAAAACATTTAGTTTATGATTTTCCAGCTATGATTAGAATTAGAAGTAACAAAATCCATTCACAAGTCAGAACATCAATGATGTTTCTTTCTGATCCATTTTCCTTGAAGACATACTTGTACGAAGGTATTGTGTGATGTCTATAAATCGGCATGAGCAATGCATGTTCTCATATTTCAAGTTTTACGTGAACACATTTAGTTTATGATTTTCCAGCTATGATTATAATTAGAAACAAAAAAAAAATCCATTTACAATTCAGAACATCAATGATGTTTCTTTCTGATTTGAATCAGTATTTATATATAATTGTCATGCAGGAATAGTAATTGGGCATATCATTGCTACTGATTAACTTTTGATCTTTATCAGCGTTTTTTACATCTTTATAGGATTATGATGACTAGTGTTTATAGTATATTGTTATTGGTATTCCTCGCCTTGAACATCATTCATGATTTACTTATTTCTACAGATTATCCAAAGATAGAGGCTGAAGCTAAGTTTGTGGCAGAAGAACTGGGGATTGATCATATGTGGAAGAATACTGCATACAGGCATGCTGATAAGGAAGATGAGGAGAGGATCCAATCAGCTCTGGATAGTGAAGAAGCTACTCCCGGGAATGGGGACTGGGCTGTAAAGCTGGGAATCAATCTCTTTTATAGTGCCAGTCTTAGCCACTCTCCACTTTATAGTAAGCAGATGGCTTACAATTCAGTTATATATTATGTATTTGGTCGTAGCTCTCCAGCAAGCTCACCCACAGAACCTAAGGTCTATCAGAGAAGGGCCAACAGGCAGAAAAAGGTAGTTGCTGGGAAATGGTGTGGTAAAGTTTGGATGTCCAATCAAGTCCATCCCCTTTTAGCAAATAGAGATTCTGAAGATGTTGAGGATGAGAAAAGCTTACATGGGTGGCCATTACCTGATGAGAAAATTGAGAGATCAGAAATTATCCACAAAAGCAATACGATGATTAGAAAATCTGGTAGGAAAAGGAAAGTGACAGTAGAGAGCGGAGGAGCCAGGGAAGGAAGCTTTGCCGAGAGAGATTGGCTTTCAGATAATTCGATTGAAGATAAATCCAATCAAGATCAAAGGAGGATTCTTGGAAGGAAGCGAACCAGGCATATTGAGGGAGATGGTACTGCTTCAGAAGGGGATTATTCTTCTCTGCAGCATCATAGAAAGTCTATAAGCAGGCATACAAAATGCATTGAAAGTGATGCAGTTTCAGATGATTCGCTGGATGATAATTCTCATATACAGCATCGGAGGAAGGTTAATGCCAAGGAAGCTAAGTTTATTGACTGTGATGTGGTTTCAGATGATACAATGGACTATGATTCTGATTGGCCTCACAGGAGAGAGATGGGCAACAAGCAAGAAGCAAGTTCAGAGGATTCATTGGATGTTGGTTCTCCTCAGTTGCATAGAAAGACTCCTAAAAGCAAGTATGATCAATACATTGCCGAAGAAGATGTGATATCCGATGATCAAACAGAGGTTTATTTTCAGAAGCAGCAAAGGAGGATATCTAAAAGCAGGCAACGCAAATACCTTTCTGAAAAAGATTCAGTGATATCTGATGATGACCAACTGGAACACCACATGCAGAAGCAGCAGCGGAGGAATCCTAAAAGCAGGCAAGACAAATACCTTACCGGAGAGAATATTATATCTGATGACCAACTGGAGGGCCATTATCACAAGTATCGAAGAAGGATTCCTAAAAACAGGCAATCCAAATGTGTTGCTGGGGAAGATGTGATGTCTGATGACCAGTTGGAGGATCAATTTCAGAAACCCCAAAAGAGTGTTCCTAGGAGAAGGCGAAACAAATGCAGTGATAGAGAAGTTATGGATGAATCAGCTGAAAATAATTCTCATCTGCTGCATAGAACTCCTAAAAGGAAGCAAGCTAGATGCATGGATGAAGACAATATTGATTCAGATGATCAAATGAAGGATGATTCTCATCAGCAGCACAGGAAGACTCTTCGAAGTAAGCAATCTAAATCAGAGACTCTTAAACAAATGAAACAAGCGAAACCACTCCGTGTGAGAAACCAGACATCCCAACCTATGAAACGAGGTGCCAATATGCTAATGAAATCAAAGGCTCCTCGGCAAATGAAGCAGCAGCATCGTGTGTGGAATAATCAATCTGGTAACTCCGGAGAATTTACTTTACATATTGAAGAGGAGGAAGATGGTGGACCTAGCACACGCCTTAGGAAGAGAGTCCCAAAAATTCAGGAGGAGTCTGGAGGAAAATCAAAAGAAAAGGAAACCAGAAGGAAAAAGGTGAAGAATGCTCCAGCTGCAAAGGTTTCAGCGGGCAATACCAAAATGAAGGATGAGGAAGCAGAATTCCAATGTGACATTGATGGGTGTACCATGAGTTTTGGGTCTAAACAGGAGCTGATGCATCATAAGAAAAATATCTGCCCTGTGAAAGGATGCGGAAAGAAGTTTTTCTCACACAAGTATCTGGTGCAGCATCGTCGAGTTCATGAGGATGCGCGCCCCCTGAAGTGCCCTTGGAAGGGGTGCAAGATGACTTTCAAGTGGGCATGGGCTCGTACTGAACATATTCGAGTCCACACCGGTGCTCGTCCTTATGTTTGTGCTGAGCCAGGGTGTGGGCAAACGTTTAGATTTGTTTCTGATTTCAGCCGTCACAAGCGAAAGACCGGTCATGCCGCAAAGAAGAGTCGTTGATAGCAAGTGTAATTGATGTTACTTAACATTGTTGATGAACTATGAATCTATTGCTCAATTGACAGGCTAGGACTAGATTTTAGTAACAGATTAGGATATCCCTGCAATTGCCATTTGGAGTAACTTTTAATTCTGCTTGTTTAGGTGTTCTTGTAACCATTTATTCAATGCAATCGAAGCAATTGCTTGGATATGGAAACATAATTCTCATACATTTCATTTCAGATGCAACTGCTCTTCCAAACATTTCCCCTGCTTAGAACCGTAGTCATGCCCTAGGCTAGGCATGCGTGCTCTAAGAAGGCCGTACTCATGAGATGCCAAGGTAAGGATCTTGTATTATTTGTCATAATATGACACCTACCGCACCCGAGAGGTTAAATGCACGTGGGCTATCCTGGTCAAAAGATAAGAAGGTACATTACTCACTTCACACTTAGTTTTGTATTCTTGAGTGTGTGTTATCTTAGATATAACATTAAAACTCTGATTAAGAGATAATAACCATCTACGTAATTAAAGTGGAGCACATTTAACAGTACATAGTAAGGAAAATACTTACTACGAACATTACTTTGTCACCAATTACTACTTACATCCCTAACTTTTTATAGGGTAAAATGTCAAAACGTTACCAACGGGTGTAGTTCAATTGTCAATATAAGTTAAGTAAAGAGATAATTGATTTCAGGAGCGAAAATTTTTAATTATGACTAAACCCTACTTGAGATTAGTCTCATAACCGGCTCAAAGAATTAAAATTTATGAAAATACTAAAGGATTGACTAACCTCAAAGAAATACCAAAAAAAAAAGAAAATGCCAAAATAATTCAATAGTAGTTATTAAATACCTAAACTATATAATGATCACTAAACAAATACTTCGTCAAAAACTTTTAGAGTGTATTTGAATGGGCTTTTTTTTTATGAAAAAACTAGCTTTTTAAAAAAATAAAAATAAAAAGTCCTTTTGGATCATTTTATCATAGAACTTTTAAAAAATAGAATTTTAAAAAAAAAGTTAAAATAGTGCTTTTTTTAAAAGTCAGGATTCTTTGCTTTGAATAAAGCAGAAGCCAAAAACTAAATAATTTTTTGATAATTAAATATTATCTCAACTCCATTCTTTACGCCGATGTGCTTAATAATTCGTCAAATAAAACCGAAGTTTCAGAAGTCCTTGTTTGCTAGTTTGTTTACACATATACTTAATAATTATATTTATCAGCTCAAGAGTCTGATAATATCTCATTCAAAGTTGAAGGAGTGTTTAATCATTAATTCAATAATGCAAGGAGATAAGCGTAAAAATAGCGTATATTTAATGAGGTGTAAATATTCTTTCTTCTTTGTATGATTGTACCATTGAAACAAAATCATTTCTCTACCTAATTATAGGTTCTCTTCTGACAAATTAGCATAAAACTCAAAAATTGTATAATATTCGAATATTTATCGGGGACATATTCGAATATTTTGAAATTTCATATACAAAATATTCGGATATTTCGCGACCGAAATGCATTATTTGCAAAGATATCCAACAAGAGTCCATTTTTATCAAACACAGAGGTCCAAGTACGCGTTTTTATGTGTGTTCATGCTAGTACACCACTGAGTTATCACTTTTACTCATTAAACATGTTCAAGACTCAAATTTTTTCATTAAAACTCAAGAAAAAAGATAGGAACATATACCCAAGCTTCCAAACAGCAAAAAGAAAGGGCTTTGAAGGTCTTGCTATAGTCTCAAGCTTCTGTCCAAGAAGGTGCACGAATTTAGGCTTCCAAACTTTATTCTTTCTCCCAGAAGATGGCTCTTTGGTGCTCCAAAGAGTGGGAAAATGGCTCTCACAACCTCAACCAAAGAAGAAAGCACCACATCTACCCAAGACAGAATTGATACACTTCCAAAATGGGCATTTCTCCTACAAGATGCTTGCTTTCAAGGTTCCAAGGTGTTTAAGTGGAAGAGAGGTAGAGAAAGATAAGAACTTGAGTGATTTACATGGAGAATGAGCTTAGGTAACTTGAAGAGGAAAAAGAGAGAATACCCTAGGTATAGAAAATGACTACGTAGGTTTCTGATGAAATGACAATAAAATGTGTGTGTTAGCTATTTAAAACACTCCCTGTTGATGAAATGAGAATACCCTGTATTAGTTCTAATACCTCTTAATTATTTTTCTCTCAAACTTTATAATATGAACTTAGTTATTTTCTAGAAATATTCATATTTTTATTTCTATTTTTCGGTTTACTTCGCCGTATACATTTATACTGTAAAATACATAGTATTAGCACTTTTCTTTCGAAAAGTGACTTAATATCAATTATTATAATTCCTCTATAATTATCCTATGTAAATTATGGAATTATTTCCCTAAATCATATTTAATTATTTAATATTCCTAATTTAGCGGTGTGGTTCTTACATTCACACCGCCTTTTAAGAATTTTGTTTGCAAAATTAGCGATATATATGTCCCTAAACTCAGGATACTGTCAGAGAAGCTCGTCCTCCCGCTCCCCAGTTCACTCCTACGGCGTTCTGCCTTTTCATTGTACCTTGATCATAGGAATGGTTTTGTTCCTCAGTTTCTTCTCACCACGATCAAGAATCTTGAGTGGTCCTACGGGAGTCTTAAGGTTTTCTCATACTTCCACATCATCAGATTGCACAATGTGAGAGGCACCGCGATATATCTTCGGAGTTGAGATACGTGGAAAACATCATGAATGTTAGCCAAGTTCAGAGGTAAGGTAAGTCGATAAGCAACAGGTCCTATCCTACCAAGAATCTGGTATGACCCAATGAATCTGGGATTCAACTTCCTCACTCTGAGAGCACAGCCAACTCCAGTGACTGGTGAAAGTCTCACATATATATCAACACATTAAGCCATAGATCATTTCCAAAGATATAAGGTATATTAGTGCATAAATCATTTTCCAAAAATATACCATGTACATAAATCAACCTCCCATGGAGTTTGGTGGAACAACGAGGGGTTAACCCTGAGAACACAAAGCTTACCTATTAAGCAGAATACACCAAAATAACCTCCAAGTCCAACCGACCACAAGACAGCAGTCCACACAGTGTCATAACCTAGATTTTACATGCAAATCAAGTCAATAGATGTAATCTAGCTTTTCAAGCCTAACAGGGCTCTATTTCTTTTTCGTTTCTCACGCTAAAGACTTCTTCCAAAGCCTCAAGCACTCAAATTATTTAAAGGATTCTTCCAAAGCCTCAAGCACTCAAACACGAAGGTTTTGACTTAATTCCATTTTACAGAGGTTCACATTGTTCATTTAAGGGTACCAGGTCAATAACATAGGTTCTGTTATGACAAAACAACATAAAACTCGAAAATTGCAGAATATTCAGATATTTATCAGGGTCATATCCGGATATTCCCAAACTCTTATGTGGATAACCATATCCGGATATCACATGCAAGATATCCAGATATTTAGCAACATAAGTGCATTCTTCACGAAGATATCCAACAAGGGTCCATTTTTATCAAACACAGAGGTCCAAGTACGCGTTTTTATGTGTGTTCATTCTAGTACAATGTATAATTATATTATTTTAAGTGAGAGAAAGATATAATTTCGTATATTTTATTTATAATTTAAGTTAAAAAAATCACTCATTTTCTTTCTTATAATTTTTAAGGGTAGGATATTTTAAATAATTCATAGGAATGAACTTGTTCCTTAGTTTCTTCTCCTTATTTTATTATATAATTTTTTTTAGCTCTCCTAAATTATTTTTTCCATTCTCACACCTTGAACTCAAGACCTCTAATTAAGAGATTCAGGTTTTTTACCATGGTTTTTGGTAATAAAATAAGGGGAATGATATTGTAACAACCAATTAGTGTTACTACCAATCAATTTCATCGTTAGATCGATTATGTTGATCCAACGATTATATTTATTTTTATCTTTGTATGGTTATGATTTCTCATATTTAATGTTTTTGGAAAATCATAACCATACAAAGGTAGAAATAAATATAAAGTATTAAATACGAGGAATCATAATCATACAAAGATAGAAATAAATATAATCGTTGGATCAACATAATCGATCTAATAGTAAAATTGATTGGTAGTAATATTGGTAGTAACACTAGTTGGTTGTTATAATATCATCCTCTATAAAATAAAATAAAATATAAACTTAACTCTTAAGAAAAGTGGAATGAGCTTACGCAGCGGAGAATTTTAAGCAAATAGCATATTTTAACTTTAGAGAAATATATTGAATTACTTAAAATTCAAGATATTATTTATTTTAAAAACTCTGTATTTGAAAAAATATATAAAATTAACTTTAACAACAGTTATTATTTATTTTAGAAACTATCTTTCTGTATTTTAACAATGTTTTGAATATTTTATCATGACTTTATATTTAATTATCTTGAATTTTATCATGTGTTTTAAATTTTTTTTATCATGAATTTAAGTAATATAATCATTTTTTTGAGTCAACTCGTTGTCAACACGTATCAAACACTTTTGCTCTCTCCAATAGTGTGCAGTGCCACTGTCTGCAACATCACTTTAAGTCATTCCCATCGCTACTCTCTCTGTATATCCACTTGCTAAAGGCTTTAAAAAAAAAAAAAAAAAAAAAAAAAAAGCTCTGTTCTTCTCAGATTTCACACCCAAACCCCTAATTTATCTTTTCTTTTTCCAAAATTCAATTTTTTTTCATACCCAGAAAAATTCGCTCTAATTTCGTTGATTCTTTGCGGTTCTTCGATTCTTGTTACCTTCTGCAGCTGTTGTTCCGGCGCGTACACGTTCTACCCTCTATCTCCGGCATCGCGAGCTGGTTCTCATGGCGGCGGGGACAATGGCGACAGCCGCCGGAGCGGCGGCGATGCTGTACTATGTGACGAACCGGGGGCTCGGGAGAAAGGCGGAAGAGGACGACGGCGATATCGCCGGCGGGGATGCCTCGAAATCAAGCAGATCGGTTTGGAGGAGATGGTTCGCTCAGAGTCCGGCTATGCTTGAATCGATGATCACTTTGTCGAAGACGTTGAGGTTCCCCTATTCGGTGGTAGGTATTTGATTGTATTTATTTGTAAGTCCTCGTTACCGATTTATAGCTGCAATTCTTTCCTGGGTTTTTCTCAT